AGCGTAGGTAGCGTTGGTGAGCGCTGACAAAGAAAAAGCTCCCCAAAGCACTGACAGAGGAAAACAAGATTTTGCTGCCCGAGGGTTTAAAGCAGCGCTGCAAGTTTGCCCGCCAGTGTTTTGTCCAGTTGCCATTGTTAAGATAGGTGCAATGGATGCTAACAGTAGCAAAGGGAACGCAAGGATTTGACCAAACATGTCCTTTCTTCCTAAGGGATCCCTTCCAGGCAGGTGGGCAGCCGCAGAAGACCGCAGCCTGGAGAAAGCTCTGCTGCAGGTGGAAGAGGAGCAGCAAAGGTACAAGGGAGAAGCGTTCCCTCATACTTGGTGTCCTGGATGCTCGTGGGCGTGAGGGGAAACCTGTGCAGTGGTACCTGGTCTTTGCAAGGGAAGCGTTTGGGCAAGCCGCGTTGAAAGGAGGAAGGTCCGCAGTCTGTTTTCTGTGGTGCAGTACTGGTGGTGTGTGCCGAATGGCTCTGTTTTGAGCGGGGGGTGTTGCGGGTGACCTCCAAAGGTCCCTTGGCAGCCTAAATTAGCCTGTGGTTCAGTAGGCGAGCGACTTGGGGCAATGCTAGAGAAAGGCGATGCATCCAGTGATCAGCCAGCACAGAGGCGGGGCGAGACGTTAACTGTGGGCATCATCAGAGTGGAAGAGGAAGGGGAAACTGGAATTGTAGATGGAAACGGAAGGCTTAAAGCAAGGAGAAGCAAAAGTGTTTGCCATGACAGTGAGATCTTAGTGAACGCTAGGAGGCACTTTTACTGCCTCTCAGTTTGACCCCGGAGTCGGTGTTGAGGGAGTTGGAAAATCACGGGGGTGCTGCTTGTGGGTAGCAGTTGTTCAGTGACCTCCTTGCTGCTTCTGCCTTCCCAAGGTGTGAGAGTCTGGCGGAAGTGAACGCTCTCCTGCGGGACCACCTCGATCAAGCGCGTGAGGTTAATTCAGCCCTCAAAGAAGATATTGGAAAGCTGACGGCAGAATGGCTGAGGGCCCGTGAAGAGCTGGAAATGAAGGAGAGTGAGTGGCGCAATGAACGTGAGGTAAGGACAGGCTATGGGATGTCGGAGGTGATGCCAGAGTGGACTGAGAAAGCATTTTCTTTCTGGCAGAGGGGACTGGCTGTGTGAAAGTTGTGGCTCTGCTGAGGGCGCATTGGTGTTGACGAGCAGGAGAGAAGGGTGTGAGACGGAGGAGTGTCAGCAAATGGTGGTGATGGAAGGGAAGATGGCCCCCTGCCGTGAGCATTCTGCTCAGTCTCAAAGGCAAATGCTTGGTGTTGCTGGGCGCTGTAGGGCAGGCACTTTTTAGTCATTCCTAAATCTCCGCCTGGAGCGGTGGAGACCAGAGAGGTCTGTGTGTTTCCACATTCAGAGTAGCCAAGAGAAGAACAAGGCAGGGCTCCCTTACCAATAGCCTGTGGTGAGCCAGTCTGACACTGCTCCTGGAGGGGCTTGTTTGTGTCTTCCTCCACCAAGACCGTTAGGCCCCTCTGGAAGGTGAGGTGATGAATCACGCTCAGTTTGCTCTGTTGATAGCTGCTCGTGCAGGAGAAGTGTGGATGTCCCCTTCTTTGAAGTCAGGTGGCAGGCTGGCTGAGGATGCTTCTGAGGTGCCTCTTTGGTCCTCGATGCCCCTGCGGCAGTAGTTGCTAAAGGGGGCCCGGTGATGGTGGTTGCTCTCTCTCCTACCCGAAAGACTTGCACAGCGATGGCGGAGGCTGAACTGCCATTTCTTTTTGTCCTTGCATGCTTAGCTTTATGACAGCTACTTCAGGGGTGAACACAGCCGTCTGCTCAGCCTGTGGCGTCAGGTGTTAACCTTCCGCCGTCAGTTCCTGGAGATGAAGACTGCCACTGACCGGTGAGTAGAAGTTAAGGCTCGATCTCTTGCAGGAAACACGAGCTTTCTGAGCCTGGGTGTCTCAGCCGTAGTGGCGGCTAAAGATGTGATTTCTCCTTTGACAGCCTGAGGCAATGCCATCAAGCGCACTTCAGGCTGTTTTCAGACTCCTGTGGTTTGATGCTGGTTCTCAGCTCAAACTGAGGGGCTTGGGCTCTAAGCAACGCAGAGGCCCTGCACAGGTGACCTGACTGGGGTGACGTTTGGGCCTATTAACACGGGCACAGGCATCTACGGACACATTGGAAGAGCCTCACCAAAGCTCTGCATGCGGCAGGCAGAGCAGTCCCTTTTATAGGACGATGATACCTGCCTTAAATCTCGCTGAGTTTCTTTTCCCACCGCTCCCGATGGAAAGGGCGTTCATGAATATCTAGGTATTTTTTATCCACTTATCCCAGTACCATCATTGTTGCGGGAAGAACAGCTTCTCTACCCTGTTAGTGCATTTATCCAGTTTGTTTTGCTTGGTTTGAGGCCTCTTCTTATGATTGTTGTCTTGTCCTTGGGCTCTCTGAGGTTCCTTTCTCACGGTTTGCCTTCTCCACAAACAAAACTAGTGTAGCCTCAATAGAACGTTCTTCTGGTGTCAGCATGGAATTTCAAACCCTGGGCTGCTGTCAGCCATTTATCTTATTTGATTATAAGCTTTTCTTAATGTGAGAGTACGCCTGACCGACTCTTTAATTCCTGTAGCATTTATGCTTTTGTGTTACAACGTTCCGGGCTTATTCTTACGCCACCTTCCTGAAACGTTCGTTCTGTAGATATTGTCGCGAGCCTCTTAGCAGTCCAAGCGCTGGTAATGATAGGTCGCTTAAGGCTGATCCCCTGGGTGTAAAGGCTGGGGATCTTGGTAAAATTCCTTACATCTACTAATGCTAATCGGAGTATGTTAATAAGGTAGAGTGGGAGCAACTATTAATAAGAGTAATGAGAGGTGCTTGAAGGCTTCTGGCTGTGCCATCCCTTTCTCCGTATCTCTGCGGCGAAACCAGGCTCCTTCCTCAACTCTCCAGTAGATGCATTGCTGCACCGCCAAGGTGTCGCCCGATCCCAGAGTGTCAGAGGAATGACCGGTCCCCAAGAAAGACACCATCTTTCCTGCCAGCTTCTACTGTCGCGCAGTTAGGTGCTTCAGGAGTGCATCAGCTGATAAAGATGGGGGTATGAACGTTAGCTCTTTCTTTACTCTTCTTCAGAGATTTGTCAGAGCTGAAGGCCGAGCAAACGAGGCTTTCTGGATCCATACTCATAAGCTGCTCCCGCCTGAACTGTGGTGTACAGCTCCGGGAGTCCATCGCTCTGGGTAGACGTGTCCTGAAGGATCAGGCAGAGCAGCAAGCGGAGCAGGACCTAAGCCAGAAGACTGGGGAAGCGATGTGCTTGCAAGTCAAGGGGGACCTGGAGAAGAAGGAGCTTCAGGAGAGGTAAAGGTGTTTTCAACTTTGCTATTGCCAGGAGTATCTTTTGTAGCCGCTTCTGTGATTGATGGATGGGCTGTGTGCACATTTAAAACCCACGCCCGTGCAGCACAGCCTTGTTTCTGTCCCTCGTCAAACTCCTGCCTTCGACAGAAGGGATAGAAAAACCGTCTGACTGAGA